ACACACACACACACACACACACACACACACACACACACACACACACACACACACACACACACACACACACACACAGAGCGAACCCTGCTGGTCAGACCTGAGTGCGAGGGAATTGCAGCGCCTCAGTCTACACGTGTCGATCGCTCCGAGCTTCTCGTCTTATCTGAATCGACGTCCTGTTCTGCAAACACTGCAGCCTGAACTGTCTGACAGTAAAACTCACTTATTAAAGTCAATGAATACAAACAAAATAAATCAGGACTGTTGTTTCACAGTAAAACACGTCATTCGTGCAGCTGAGCCGCAACAGTGCCAACATTTCTTCAGGTTCAGTTTATCATCGAGATGAACGTCTCCTCATCCAAATGAATGAGCTGTGTCAGGCAGACAGAAGCACCAAAAACAAATAAAGCTGTGCTGATGTTTGACAGGTGTACACACCTGACAGGAGCATAAAACGCTGCCAGCCTGCGCACGATTACTGACGACTCACTCAGCGCTGAGGGCGGAGCCGAAGCGTCTCCTCAGATAGCCGGGACTGACAGATCCACGCTCGGTGTCATGTCTGATCAATTCAAAGCCATCAAATCTTTATTAGCAGCCAATATAAACAGCAGATCAGTTCAGCAGTTACCACGGGGACGCTCCATCACAACTTATCGATTGGATGGTTTCACTGTCTGCCGGTGTGCCTGATTAGAGCGCTTGATTTCAGACAATTAGCCAATCAGATAAAGACTTTAGTGACAGCTGGTTTGTTCAGGTGTTCCAGAGTTTATTAAACTGCAGTGAAACATGAAGATATGAATAAAGACAGAAAACATGAATCAAGAGCATCGTTCATTCGTGACATCAGCGTTTTTAGCAGCTCAGGTGTCTCAGGGACTCTGGGCTGAATGTGGAGTCATGGTCACGTGACCTATAGCTGTCAAGGTAAAAGCCTCATACGAATGAAATACAACACATAAGAATAAAACAGTCACGTCAACACAAACACGCAATAACAGGTCATTAAAAACAGCCACACAGCATCACCACCAGCCCCGCTGCACGGCTGCACGTGCCGTCCAAACGTGGCGTCCTGAACAGTCGCTGATCCGCCAGCTAAAGAGGAAAACGCTGCCAGGTTCAGGTGGTCTCTTCTTCTCATCGTGGTAACTCTGCTCTGACATCTTTTACCTGATGATCAGGTGTTACTGCTCTGCTGGGTGTGTTTGAAATTGCATGTGGACACGTGTCCTTAAAGACGCAGCGAGGATGCATTCAGGTTTGATCCAGGAGGAATCGGACCGACTGCAGGTGGAAGAAACACAGGTGACAGTAAAGTGTGTAACAGTCAACAACACAAGGTCACAGCCACTCGCACAACTATAGATAACACAGACATCTGGAGAGCTAACACACTCTTATAACTGCTGCCTGTCACGCCCTGTGAGCCTTCAAGGACTGAACACACACACACACAAACACACACACAGTTTGATGTATAGGAGAGTCGGTCTAAAGCTTGTTAAATGCAGCTGAACCAAGACGGGATTATGATTCATGCACTTCACACACACACACACACACACACACACTCTGAGTCCTGGCTGTGCTCGGCTGCGTTCACTGACGCTCTGATTTATCACCTCCCAACCAGTTTAAACTGTAAATGATGTTAGAGGAGAGAGGAGGGGAGGGGAAAACAAAAAATGAACAAGTCTGATGGATTCGGCGTGTCTGAGGGTTGCAGATTCGCCGCGATGTGCACGGCTGCAGTTATTACACCTGACAAAGAGCAGCATAAATTATCGGTTCAAACTGAAGTGTGTGGTTTCCCGTCAGCGTGACAACGACGCCTCCGTGTGTTTCCTCCCGTCGGTCAGTACAGACGTTCTAATCCAATCGGCCCGTAAACTTTCTGGAGTATTTTCATTGACATTTATTTTTTCCTTTGTTCTCTCTGTGCACGACTTACATGTTTAATCCAGAAATAATCTAAAATGCTCACATTTAATCTGCGAGTAATGCGAGAGGAGTGTCTCACGTCTTATCCACGGCAGTCTGAGCAGCTGACAGTTTCACGTTTTTGGACTTGAAGACTTTAAAAAGTTTAACTAGTGAACAAATGTGACGATATTAATGTTGTGAGGTGTCTAATGAAAAGACCTGCTCCCTCCTCAGCGCTGAATGAGCCTACCATCGATTACGGCTTCCAGAGGTTACAGAAGGTCATCCCCCGCCACCCCGGAGACCCGGAGAGACTGCCGAAGGTAGGACGCGCTCAGACACACAATCGTTTTATACAAACACACAGAATAAGTGATTATTGTCGCTGTGTTTTTTCCATCAGTCTGCGTTCTGGTTGGCTGCTCAGAGTCCTGATAATCATCAGCTGCATCCACCGATTCTGCTGTTTAACTTGTTTTTGTGTGTCCACTCAGACCGACTCGCAGCTTCTAACACACACACAGTTTTCATCAAACCTGTAGTTTGGACACCAGTATCTGTTCAAAGCTTTCACATTTGTCCTGGTTTGGCTGAATTTGGTTCACATGAACCGCGTTACCACACGTGTGATGCTCCAGAGAAAAGGCTGACGGTAAATTCAGCTGGACAGTGAACGATCTGTAATGAAGCAGGAACCTTCACATTCCCCTTCTGTGGGTTAATTATCACCCGGGGGGGTGAAAAGCGGTGCAAAGGTTAACATGATCCAACGCCCTCAGGGTGAATGAATCTGGAGGACAGTCCGCTGGCTCCAGTCAGAACCAGCAAAGAGTCCAGCGCTTGTCTGTTGAAGAAGGAAGCTGCTTCCATGATGTTCTCCTTGTATGCTACCACTCCTGTTCATTGTTGTGAGGATGTTGTTTAGTTTCCAGTTCACAGCTTTTCGATCAGCCTCTGAAAATCGTCCCACATTTCTCATCGGTGGAGGCCAAAGTTTTTCTTTTTAAGCTCACACTTTCACATCTTTTACCCATTTTAGATTTGATGGGTTCAAACAATCAAAGCAAAGAGACAGAATCAGTTTTCCCTTTAGGGTGGACATTTAAAAACTGCTGTGCTGCTTCAGGTCAACAGTTCAGTGTGTGTGTGTATGTGTGTGTGTTTCAATAATAACTCGTAAAGCAGGTTTGGGATCGTCAGGCTGTCCTGATCCTGGATTAGCTGTCCAGTTTAGAAGAACCAGGATAAGATGTTTATATATATCAGGCCTAATCTGGATGCTCCAGATTCGGACCAGAAGCAGGATGCTGATGTAAATTATCCGACACTTCTATTCACCCCCTCGTTTAATGAACAACCTTGCAGTAGTTGAAAGAGAATTTCTCTAGTGTGCTTTCAGCCTCCAGCTGCTCTGATGTGAGCTGACATGCTGTTAGCTCCATAATGAAAACCACATCTTTAATAATTCATCTGTAATGGTTTTATTCAATTACCCACGCTGCCTTGTGCTCAGCGTGCAGCCGAGTGACTGTTGACCACAGAAACGCTAATAACTGGAAATAATCCCGACTGTTTCGGGGGGCTGACTGCGACGTCTGAGTCGGGCTTACGTGTGACGGGTTGTGCACTCATGACATCACACAGGTCAACACAGGTCAACACAGGTCAACACAGGTCAACACAGGTCCCCTGTGTTGCAAACCTGGACCATGTTCTGGCGAAGCACACACGGTAACACCGAGGCAGAGCTGATCTCCCTGTGTGTGTTCAAACAGCGGTGCCTTGTGAACACTTGGTGCTACCTCGATACACAAATATACCTGCGACAAAGTTACAATGATTTAAAAGCAGTTATAAAAAGGGCCCGCGACCCAACCCTCTCTGTAGGCGCTGAAGCCGCCACATGCTCGGCTGAAGGACAAGCGATACTAAACTACTAAGTATGAAGAACAGAAATCGAATGTGTGGTCAAACGTGCAGATGTATTCTGCTAGTGGTTTCTTCCTTCCCGCTGTCACCAAGTGCTTGCTCATAGGGGGTCATATGATTGTTGGGTTTCTCTGTATGATTGTAGAGTCTTTACCCTACAATATACAATACCCTACCCTTCAACACCATCCTTCCAGACCATCTCCGAGGCAAGCTTTCCCAGATGAATGTGCCTGATCCCATCTGCCGGTGGATCACTGACTTCCTGACGGACAGGAAGCAGCATGTGAGGCTGGGAAAGAATGTCTCGGACTCCCGGACCATCAGCACCGGCTCCCCTCAGGGCTGTGTTCTTTCTCCTCTGCTCTTCTCCCTGTACACCAACTGCTGCACCTCCACCCACCAGTCTGTCAAGCTAATCAAGTTTGCAGATGACACCACCGTTATTGGGCTCATCTCGGACGGGGACGAGTCTGCCTACAGGAGGGAGGTTGAACGTCTGGTGTCCTGGTGCAGCCACAACAACCTGGTGCTGAATGCCCAGAAGACAGTGGAGATTATTGTGGACTTCAGGAAGCACACAGCCCCACTCCCCCCCATCATCCTGACTGACACCCCCATCACCTCTGTGGACTCGTTCCGCTTCCTGGGTACCACCATCACCCAGGACCTGAAGTGGGAGCCCACCATCACCTCCGTCATCAAGAAAGCCCAGCAGAGGATGTACTTCCTGAGGCAGCTGAAGAAATTCAACCTGCCAACACGGACGATGATGCAGTTCTACACTGCAATCATCGAGTCCATCCTCACCTCCTCCATCACCGTGTGGTACGCTGGAGCCACTATCAGGGACAAACAGAGACTGCAGCGTGTTGTGCGCTCTGCTGAGAAGGTGATTGGCTGCAGACTCCCATCTCTGCAGGACCTGTACACCTCCAGGACACTGCGGCGTGCAGCTCGGATCTCAGCTGACCCTTCTCACCCTGGACACAGTCTGTTTGACCTGCTCCCCTCAGGCAGGAGGCTCCGGTCCATTCGCACCAGAACCTCTCGCCATAAGAACAGTTTCTTCCCCTCTGCTGTTGGACACATGAACAATAACCACATGACTGTCCCCGCCACTAACACATGACCCTACGCTGTGTCACTGCATCATTTCATGTTTGGCACTGATCACCACCTGCACTCATGTATATATCTTTCTACGTAGCACTTTTAATTCTTATTCCTACTTTTATTTTTTCATGTCTATTTAAGTGTTATTTATGATGTTGTAAACCTGCTCAACATTTGGCAATAAACCCCTTTCTGATTCTGATTCTGATAAAACACCTGGAGGCGACTGCTGCTGTGATTTGGTGTTGAATGAAAGAGAAGTTTGCTGATAGTCTCACTGAAGCCTGTGATTGGTTGATTGTACTGTAGTTTTGTTTGATACACCTGTTCAAAGTGTGCTCACAAGTATGTGAACAGCTCCCAGGAAGTTTCCTGTTGAGCTTTGAAGCAGTAGGAGGTCAGTTTGCTCTGTGTTTTTGAGGTGTAGGCTAAAGATGGCGGGCTGAGAGAAGCCGCTGTCCCATTCAGTCGGTTTCAGAAAGCAAAGCTACTTCCTCTGTGTCCTTGTCAAACATGTGAGCAGGTGAGAAAGTACAGAGACATTTTCTGAGAGTGACACCTGCTTCTGACCCTACAGACGGACGGTGTTTGGGTTTGGTGCCATAGCGACGCCAAAGATTAAACTTTAAAGTGTCGGTATGTGCGGCAGCTGCCGTCAGTCATCCCAGCACGGACGCCACGAAACACGTTGAGGTCGGAAACACACAAACCCAGTGACAGGCATGTGCACGAGACAGGTTCACACACACACACACACACACACACACACACACAGGGCCTCCCACATTCGCCTACGCGTACACACACACACACACACACACACACACACACACACACACACACAGGAAACACACAGCTTGAAGGAGAGATCACTCTGTTAGTCCGGATTACTGAGGACAGTTCACACTAACCTCAGTGTTAAAGCTGTTTCCATGGTGATCAAGTGACCCTGCATTCATCATCATTAGCTGTCCGTCACACACACACACAGACACGCACTTGTATGTGTGTGTCTGTGTGTTTGTAGAATTTAATGCTCTTTCCTGTGTGTGTGTGTGTGTGTGTGTGTATGCCAATCTCCTTTCTTGCCACATGGCTGCACTCGCTGATTACCTGATTTGACTGTTTCAACCTCCTGTTTGAATTGTATACACACACACACACACACACACACACACACACACACACACACACACACACACACACACACTCTCTAATACACACATACTGATTAAGCATACACCAGCCTTTCTCTTATCTGATTTATAAAAAATAACTCCTCTGTCGTCTTGTTTCTGTTTCTGTCCTGCATAATAAACTCTGAGCTGTTTTCATGTGAAATCTAAATGTCCGTGTTTGGGATGTTTTCATCCAGATGTGGGTGAAGAATCCCTGCAGATGTTCAGTTTGTGGGGGTGTGCATTTAGCCCTCGTGTTGGTGCTGCAGAATCGATTTCTGGGGTCAGATTGTGGTTAATCTGCTCACGCTCAGTGACAGCCTTCAGTTTTCCTTTTGATGGAGTTGGTTGGAGTAGAGAACTCTAACACATTAACATCTGCTTAATGCTACTTATCTGGGTCCGCGTCTCAGGGGCAGCAGGCCAACAGAGATGGCCAGATCTCCTTCTGGCACCAACTCCTCTGGTGGGGACAAAGCCAGCATGTCCTGGGTCTGACCCTCCCAGCTGGATGTGGCCAGATGTCAAACCAGTGGTGGCTCCATCCTCAGCCTCTGATGAATGAGCTCCTCACTCATCTCTAAAGGTTCAGCCTCCAGCAGATGAAGCTCATTTCTGCTCCTTGTGGTCATAGCTGAGGGTAGATCAATCAGTAAACTAACAGCTACACCTTCACCCTCACCTTCGTCACAATAGACTGGCCACTGTTATCCTGAGCTGATCGTGTCCACCATCCGCCAAGAAAGAGTCTGACTCCACCGGTGTATGTTTCAGATGTTTGAAAGTGTTTAGGATCAATTTGTTTACAGTACCATCTGTTGGTAAAAGACTACAATGGTGATTTTTATGAAACATGGCGGAGAAGAAGACGATGACCTAAGGCAGCGGTCCCCAACCCCCGGGCCATAGACCAGTACTGGTCCGTGAGTCGTTTGGTACCGGGCTGCGAGTTGAGGCTCGGGTGTGATTGTTGGTTTTTAGCGTTATTTTTTGTTATCATTTTTATCATTAACTCGGTTTCCCTGGGTCTTTTCCTGTGTGTTTTGAATAAATCGTGTTTTTTTGGTACCGGTACTGGTTTTACTTTGTTGTATTTATCC